CTTTCCCCCTGACACACTTTGGTGTATCACGGCCCTCTCTGACTCATATTAGGAAGTTTTTCCAATAAAGGCTGTTAGGCTAGTCTCCAGTGAGGGTGGGTGACGGTCACAACCACGCATTATGGGTATAAAATACTTGACTGCAAGATTAACAGTGCATCAATCTTCACAAGAATCTTACACCCTTTAGTGGCGCTAAGCTATGAAGACCAATGCAGACAAGTAAAAAAAAAAAAAAAAAATACATGTATAAGATCAACAGCTCCCTTGATAGGTATTGAAATACTGTATACATCAAACTTTAAACACAAATTATATCACTGTCTAACACCACCCCCAGACCATCCTGCTCATCCTCTTTTCTAGGAACCCATCACATTTCACCCAGCGCTCCCACCCAAAGCGGAGGAAGTAATACTTCTAAACTCCACATACATGACTGTGTGTCTGTGCAAACACCCACACCTGCAAAAGAAATACATGCACAGACATTCAAACATAGTATCTGCACTAACACAAATCTACATTTGCACGTACGGTCTATTCACACATGCATTGTCTATGGAAATTCATTAATTTAAATGTCAAAGTCCTCTGTGCATGAAGTGTTAACCTTTGTTCTGTCAAACAAAACGTGAAGGGCAGTTGAAATAAAACACTCTTGTTTCAGTAGGATGATATTTTACATCTTTATCTGCCACAGTAGTGCTGATTCATAATGGAGAAGGCACCTGATATCTACACACAGGAAGTCAGCAGCTTTCTGTTCAAATGATGTCAGACTTCTCAGACTTATTTGTGTCTGGTTGCATTATAGACTTGAATCTTATATGACTTTCATGATACAGGCCTGAAACTCTTTCTTTTTACACTTCACACTGCTGCAGTTTTTTTTAAAATGTTGTATCTCATTTGATTTTATAATTTATGGTTTTACGATTTAATGATTTTAAGATTTATGTTTTTACACTGAATTGCCTTGTAAGCAGTCTCTCAGTAATTTTGTCTGGGATGCTTCATCACAGCTGCAACCACGATCAGGCTTCACTGTAGGTGCAGGCGATGAGTAGTGTCACAGTGGTAGCTCTTAGCGTGCATGAAAATAGGTGACAAACATCAGTCTAATAAGTTGCTTATTGCAGTTGCAGAACAGATAACCTACATACTTTTCAGTTCCTAAATTAAACAGCCAAGAATAATACATTTTTGTGGGCACTTAAACATGCAGAATTAGGGGTGTTAGTTCTGCAAAACAGGCCGTGTAGCTCTTAAGATGGGGATGCTTTCTTTCCGCAAAAAAATACATTAACCTCCAGTGAGGAGTCTTGTATGTGGATGATTACAGACTTTATTGAAGTTGGTTGTTTTTAATTAAAGATTAATGCAACATGATCAACAATTCATCTATTTTTTTTTTTTTTTTTTTATAAAAGTCTAAGTGTAAAATGTTCAATAGTTTTCAGTTGAATTAGGTATTGTGAACTGATCATGTTCATTACCTGCCGGCTCACTGGGTGTAACCTCCCTTTAGGTTTGTAGAGAAAGACAACATCATGAAGACATAGAGATATCTTTGTGTGTTAATGCTTGATAAAAAAGAGAACCACTGTGCTTCCTGTAAATGCAAAAACCACAAACACTTTTCTCGGTTAGATATTTCCCTTTTAAGAACGCAGACAGTCCTCAAGTGGTTATTTCTCTGATGTGCAATCAGCCAGGCAGCACGAACTCAGCATGAAATGCTATTTCAATGGAACTCTGCTGATCAGCGTGCTCCCTCCACTGTTGGTGACAGAGTTTGTTTTGGGAGCTCTCGGAAATGGTTTGGCTCTCTGGATCTTCTGCTTCCACCTGAGGCCCTGGAAGAGCAGCACGGTGTTACTCTTCAACCTGGCCTTGGCTGATTTTCTGCTCAACATGGCTTTGCCTTTTCGTGCCAGCTACTACTTCTCTGAGATCAAGTGGATGTTTGGAGGCGCTCTCTGCAACGTCTGTCTCTTCATGTTGGCCATGAATCGCAGTGGAAGTACAATCTTCTTGATGGCTATCGCTGTGGACAGGTACATGCGTGTGGTGCATCCCCATCATCCCATCAACTCTCTGAGTATCTCCAAAGCCATATGTGGAGCGCTTGGCTTATGGCTGCTCACCATCTCAATGACAGCTCATGTCTTCACTCTGAAACACAACACAACCTACTGTGAGAGCTTCCTGATCGAGACTGAACCCCAACAAAATCTGACCTGGCATAAATTCGAGTTCATCTTTTCCTTCTACATTCCTCTGCTGGTTATTCTCTACTGTACATTCCAAATTATTGGCCACCTGCGAAGGAGACAGCTGTCCCAGCATGCAAAGATCAAGAAGGCTCTGTGTTTCATTGCAGTTGTGGCGGCACTCTTCGTCATTTGCTTCCTCCCGAGCAACATCACGCAGCTGCTGATTTGGATCAGGACCCAACAAGTAGCCAGCACTCTTCCTGAATCTGAAGTCTGCCCTGCTCTGGAAAACCTGACCACCTCATTTTACATCACCATCAGCCTGACCTATCTCAACAGCGTGTTGGACCCTGTGGTTTACTACTTCTCCAGCCCTGTCTTCAAGAACATCTGCAGGAAAGCTCTTCATCTGTCCCAAACAGACACTGCTGAAAGCACAGAGAGGAAAACTCGAGAAACAGGCTCCCAGTCTCTCAGTCAGCTGTGATCACAAAACTCAAGGAACTCATTGAGACAGATGCAGCTAAAATATTGATGAAAAGTGACACGTTTCTTTCAGTGTTGTCACTTAAGTGTTACAGCCAACAAAAACATGTTAAAAATTCCTCTTATTCAGTAGTTATGTAGCATATTTTGACTGCACTTTCCAAATATCTTTATTGCCTTTGCAAAACATGCTATTGTAACACTGTGTTATTTTTATTTTTCTTTATATTAACTGCACTTTTTTCCGAATTATTAATTGCTTTTGCCATTGTAAAGACGTGACATGATATATGGTTTTAATATTTTGTCCAGTGTGGACACATGTCAAACTACACCTCAACTGTGTAAACTCAAACATACAGTTTTGATGTTGTGTTATTGAAGTCCATTGCTGTGTCTGTTGTTTTCATACTTATGACATCATATAAATAAAATGCCATCTTGTAAAACTGGATCATCATTAGAAAAAACATTTCCTGCAGAAAATGTGTGTGAATGCTGGCAACTGAAATTGCAAAGCATTGCTAAAAATACAGGAATCTTAGAGTGCAAATCCACTGTACTGCTGAAAAACCTGGAAACTACATGGTAAAACTGGCAGAACTGGAAGCTGAAATGCATTACCTAAAGAGAAGATAAGAGCTGAATAAATTCCTAGAAAAGATGGAAGTTAATCTGTAATACTGCAAAAAGGTGAATTTAAATTAATTAACTGGAAACTGGAACTGAAGTAGAAATGCTTTGTACTTTAAAAGCATCTCTGAATATAAGCTAAACATGCCCTGAAAGGCTGCAACACATTGACATTTGAGTGATTTATGTGGCTGAAAGGGTGCAGAAGTAGTGGTCGAACAAAGTCTAAATGAAGTCTGTAAAGTATGGAGAGAAGTACACTTTAAAAGTCGTCTAGATTGAAGATTTGTTTTTTTTCCCCAATTCATTTCAACTATTAAAAATATGTTAAAAAAAATCTAAATATTATCATATTACTCTTGGAGGTTCTATTTTCTTTTTTTTTTTTCACTTAAATCTTTATTAATCATTTTTTGTGACATTGTCATGTCAGTTACAACAGCATAATAGAATAAAAAACAAAACAAAAAAAAACAATTAGAGCTAACAAAACAAAAACTGCTTGGGTAAATACACATTTTTACAGCTTTAAGGATTAGTGTTTCTATTGATTATTATTCCAGTCCACTGTCGTCTTTTTGAGTCTTGTATAGAGTCCAAAATACCAAATTATTTAAAAATATCTCCCTCCACTCCTATGCTGACGACACACAGCTGTATCTCCCTCTCAAGCCCAACTACAAGTCTAGTGTTGCCAGTCTCATAAATGGCCTTGAGGACATAAAGAACTGGATGGCACAGAACTTCCTTCAGCTGAATGAGGGCAAATCAGAAGTTGTCCTTTTTTGGCCCCCCTGACTCCATTAAAGGGATTTCTGACCAGCTCAGCAGCCTTTCTAACTATTTAAAACCCTGTGTCAAAAATCTTGGTGGGATATTTGACTCTGCCTTTAAGTTTAATAAACAAATAAACGCAGTAGTAAAAACTAGAGAGATGGTCACCCATGCTCTCATTTCCTCCCGTTTAGACTACTATAACTTTCTGTACACCTGTATCAGTCAGTCCTCTCTGTCCTGGCTCCAACACTAGACTCCTCACAGGTACCCAGAGGAGAGACCATATCACACCTGTTTCAGCCTCTCTCCACTGGCTGCCTGTGAAGTTCAGAATTGACTTTAAGGTCCTCCTGTTTGTGTACAAAGCCCTTAATGGTCTGGCCCCATCCTAAATCGCAGACCCTCTAACCCCCTATTCTACGCCCAGGTCCCTCAGGTCAGCTGACCTGGGGCTCCTGGCTGTCCCACACTCCAGACAAGCTCAGGGGTGATAGTGCCTTTGCTGTGTCTGCCCCCAAACTGTAGAACAGCACCCCCTTCCCAATCAGATCTGCACCCACCACTGACTTGTTTAAGTCCAGGCTCAAAACCTACTTTTATTCACTAGCGTTTGAGTCCCCCTGATGTGTATGGGGTGCCGTTTGTAAAGTGTCTCACGCTGAAAATAACATCAACATTTTGCCACATTTAGCTTCAAACAATGTTTAAAAAAGTATTGTGAATTTTTTAACGTCACCTTTTACCACATTTACAGCAATATTTGTTAACTTAGAAATATATTAAATGTTAAATCTAAATATTAAATCTAAATCTAAATCTAAATGTTAAATCTAAATATTAAATCTAAATCTAAATGTTAAATCTAAATGCTAAATATAAATCTAAATGTTAAATGTTAAATCTAAATGTTCTGGGTGAAACTAAATATTTAGCTAATATGCAAATTCACACTGCCGGTCACCGGAAGTACCAAAATAAAAGCTCGAGATGGTCAGACTGTGTTTATAGAATCAAATAACGAATTAAAACCAACTTATCGGGGGAAATGGACACTTGAACATACATTAGCGTGATAATAACTACCTAAAATAACAAGAAACGTGTTTGGAGAAATTTTATTTGATGTGTACTTTGAGTTGTTAGTGTCCCTTCGGAGGGAATCACCTTGTTGTTTACAAATACTTCCGGGTAGAAAACCAGCGGAGTTTAGCTACATATATATATGCATATCTCACATTTTTCACGTCACTATATCACCGTTTAGACTAATCTGGTGTTTGTAAAGTCTATAAACACAATGATTGAACAAACATTACTATCACGTTCTGAAATTAATAACATGGTTATCGTAGATTAGCGGGGCTAACCGTTAGCTGTTAGCCCCGTTAGCGGTGTCTGTAATGACTCATTAACTCTAAACGGTCCGTTAAAAAAAATATTTTTTTCCAGCGGATGTCTTAGTTACAACATGATTGAGCTAACTGGAGTAGTTTCATGTCGTATCCGACAACGGGAGGCTTTTAACAGATGACGTCCTGATGTTAGCTTTGCTGCTGCTGCAGCCACTGATGCTTTCTAGACATCGTGATTTCCCAAAACTGAATAAATACCACACATCGCAACACAAAACTGCTTTGCTAGCTCAATCATGTTGTAACTAAGACATCCGCTGGAAAAAAATATTTTTTTCACGGACCGTTTAAGAGTTAATGAGTCATTACAGACACTGCTAACGGTGCTAAGAGCTAACGGTTGTTAGCTTAGCTTAGGTTGTTAGTCCCTCCGAAGGGACACTAACAACTCAAAGTACACGTCAAATAAAATTTCTCCAAACATGTTTCTTGTTATTTTAGGTAGTTATTATCACGCTAATGTATGTTCAAGTGTTCATTTCCCCCGATAAGTTGGTTTTAATTCGTTATTTGATTCTATAAACACAGTCTGACCATCTCGAGCTTTTATTTTGGTACTTCCGGTGACCGGCAGTGTGAATTTGCATATTAGCTAAATATTTAGTTTCACCCAGAACATTTAGATTTAAATTTAACATTTAGATTTAACATTTAGATTTAGATTTAGCATTTAGATTTAACATTTAGATTTAGATTTAGATTTAATATTTAGATTTAACATTTAGATTTAGATTTAGCATTTAGATTTAACATTTAGATTTAGATTTAGATTTAGCAATTAGATTTAACATTTAGATTTAGATTTATATTTAGCATTTAGATTTAACATTTAGATTTAGATTTAATATTTAATATTTAGATTTAACATTTAACATTTAGGTGCCACATTTAATATTTAGATTTAACTATTTAATATATTTCTAAGTTAACAAATATTGCTGTAAATGTAGTAAAAGGTGACGTTAAAAAATTCACAACACTTTTTTAAACATTGTTTGAAGCTAAATGTGGCAAAATGATGTTATTTTCAGCGTGAGCCACTTTACAAACGGCACATAGATGTGTGCCTGTGTGTTTTGTGTCTCTAAATGTGTGAGCTGTGTACCTGACAGTTATGTTGCCTCTCATGTATGTGTTTTTAGCATCATATTCCTTTTGTATAGCACTTTGGTCAACGTGAGGTGTTTTATAAATACATTTGAGTTGAGTTGAAAGTCCATTTTTCCCATTTTCTTTCTAGTTGTGCTTCTTGTAGTCTCCGTATATGTGTCAATTTTTCCATTTAAGAAGATTTCTTCCACAATTGTCAACCTCTGGTCCTTCGTTGGTGGTGTTTCTTTACCCTAGTTCCTAGTGATAGCTTTGTTGCTTGCTACTGGCAATATTTTGATCAAATATCTATCACTAGCAACAACATTTTCTTCAGAAATTTTATTTTTTATTTTATAATTTTGGATAAAGCACCAAACAGCTGTTAAGAACCTCATAACCTAGTATGTGCTCAATCTCTCTACATACCATTTCCCAAAATACAGTTATTTTCTGACATTTCCAAAAAACATGAGAGTGGTCTTCATCAAAAGACCTGCACTCTTGCCAACATTTCAGGTAAGTATGGAGATGCTTACTTTTCAGTTTTGGTGTAATAAAAAAACGAATCAGATTCTTCCATGAGAGCTCCCTCCAGGTTGACAAATTAGTGGCTGAATGGTTTATCTTCCACATATTATGTCAATCTTCGTATGAAAATTCTACATTGAGTTATTTCTCCCGTTTCACCTTGATATATTTATGCTGATTCAGCATTCACACGAATTATGGAAACACATATACTGTAATTTTCATGATAAAAAGATATGTCTCATAGCTTTCTCACATCAGGTGTTCTATGATCATACTGATACCACATCACATTAATGCCATACAGTATATAAGGGCAGATAAGAAATGAATTAATTAAAAAAAATGTTATTCTTATCCTAGAGATGTGGCATGTTTTCTGGATTATTTCATTTGACTTCCACTTAACATGAAGTGCATGCACATATACAGTTAATGCACTGCAGACACAATAAGAATTGAGCACAATAAAGCAAATAAATCAAGGATTTATAGTTTATTTGTTGCATCCTGCAATCACTGCATGACAGAAATGCTTTGGTACGACAGACTTTATTAAAGTACATTGTTTTTAACTGAAGATCAGTTCAATGGGATTAATAATTAATTAG